GTCCCAGAGAAGTAATATTAATTTTTTGAGGTTGTAAATTTTGAAAAATTCTTATAACATGTTCTGTATTTTATGAGTATATGGAACAGCTATCCACTTATGTGATGAAATGAAGAGAAATTTGATACTGTGTGTGGTATATCTACTGTAATATGATTGATTTTCATAAGTCATTTATAAAAATTAGCTTCATTTTTCTGTAGGGTCATTTTATTTTTGTATGTGGCTTTAATTGTACATATGTGGAAATTTTCTGTTTTACTTAAAGACATATGAGGGAAGGCTCCTCTTTGGTGAAAGCTGTGTATTTTTCTCAAAAGTGGCTTGAGAATACTATGTGAACTAACACTTGTCCATAAAGGCAGAGCCAACAGAGCATTGGAGGAGTGATTTGCATGCAGCCTTCCAGGCACTGGAGGAAGAGAGGATTGTAAAGGGTTGATACCCTGGGAAAGAACAGGGGAGGATTCCATTGCCTGTTACCCAAATAGTAAAGCTAAAGTTCCCTCCCTACTCTAGAAAAAAAATGAATATTTTATATAAATACGTTTTTGACACTAGATTCCAATTCCTGAATATTCATTTAAAAAGGTAATTGGAGGGACACCTGGGTGGCTCAGCAGTTTAGCGCCTCCCTTTGGCCCAGGCATGATCCTGGAGTCCCGGGATGTAGTCTCACGTCGGACTCCTTGCATGGGGCCTGTTTCTCCCTCTGCCTATGTCTCTGCCTCCCTATTTCTGTGGGTATCTCTCATGAATAAATAAATAAAATCTTTTTAAAAAAATTGGAATAGGGAATCCCTGGATGACTCAGTGCTTAGCAACTGCCTTCTGCCCAGGGCATGATCCTGGAGTCCTGGGATCGAATCCCACCTTGGGCTCCCTGCATGGAGACTGCTTCTCCCTCTGCCTGTGTCTCTGCCTCTCTCTCTCTCTCTCTCTCTGTGTGTGTGTGTGTGTGTGTGTCTCTAATTAATAAAATCTTTTAAAAATTAAATAAAATCTTTAAAAAAATTGGAATACTCTTTTTATACCTAGCTCATAGGGTAGCAAACACAAATATTTTGGGGAAGTATCTCTTGACATAATCCTTTAATGTTAATTTTCTGTTTAAACAACTTTTTCAGATGTTTCCAGGAGCTCAAGATTGAGATTAACTTCTTTTTTAAGATTGAAAAGAAAAATAATTTAGCAAGGTCACAAAACTGAACCTTTAGTCTATTTTTCTTTTCCTGATTTTCACGTTATTTCCTTTATATTAATTTTACCTTACAATTGCATATTCATGAAGGCTGATTTGAAATAAGAAATGCATACTGAGTACTTTTTAAGAGCTAAGACTACATCTTCTCCTTTGATGTGAATTATATCCTTCAAAATATATGTGTGTTGTATAATATGTACTCAATGAATGCCATTGAATAAATAAATGAATTCATCTACCAGTCAATAAGCAGAATCCAAAATCTATTCTAGAATATCATGGCCTCTGAAGACTGGAGTAAAACTAAAAGCACTTTACTAAATTAGATATAAAGGACATAGAAGGCAGAGTAGATTTAATTAATTATTTTCAAATTTCAAATTAATTAAAGCTTTTTTATTTAACTTCTATAATGTAGAAATCCCTCTAGTCATCATTGGGAGCATAAAAATGATGAAATCGTCTCTCACTTACCAACAATGAGAAACGCATAGTATATGCTCAAGAAAGTTAATTAAGGGGGCACCTGGGTAGCTCAGTTGGTTAAGCATCTGCCTTTAGCTCAGGTCATGATCCTGGACGTCCTGGGATGGAGCCCCGTGTCGGGCTTCCTGCTTGGGTCTGCTTCTCCATCTCCCTCTGTGCTTTCTCTCTTTCTCTCAAATAAATAAGTAAAATCTTAAAAAAAAAGAAAGAAAAAAAGAAAAGAAAAGAAAAGAAAAGAAAAGAAAAGAAAAGAAAAGAAAAGAAAACTAAGTGCCTGTGAATAGGACACAGATTTAAAAGATCCAAGCAGTATGTATGGAATGGGAAAAGAGTTAAATTTGAGTTTGAACTTGAGGTTTAAGTATAATATGATGAGTTGAAAAAGAGGACAGGGAGATTCTGTGTGGAGGAAAAACAAGAACTGGAAGTGAAAAGAGTATAAAACAAGCACAAACAAAATTATAGACCTATAAATTCACATAATTTCCAGGGAAAAGCACACTGACCACTCCGGGGCAGAATCTGGGTGCTGGGAGACTGTGTTTAGACATAATGAACAAAAACAAAAATTGGACTACAGCAAAATTTGAACTTTATTTTCTAGACCTCATTTCAAAATACACGTCAATGGGTGTTAAATGAGGGGATGGGGTAATTTGCTTATGTGAATTTGGAAAATGTGAGATGACTTTCAACGGTTAAACAAGATTGCTTACTGTGAGTTTGCTCAAAAGCCTTTAGTTCACAGATATCAAGTAGAGACTATGGTAGGAATTTCACAAACGTTTTGCCATAGATTCTCTTTCTGTGATTTGTCTCTCTGTAGTGATATTTCTCCTCCAGACACATGTTGGGAATGAGTAGTTTTTGACAGTTAAGGGTTACAGGAACATTAAGGCAGAGAAAGGACATGGTGAAAGTAGTGATTTGGGGAAAATAATATGGTGGCAGTAGGTGGAGGGACTGAAAATAATATGGTGGTAGTAGGTGGAGGGACCTCTATAAGGGGTTGGGAAGAGAAGTTGTAATGATACACCAATAGTGGAGATGAAAGTTTTAAGATACAAAGCAGTAGTGTGCATTTTTAGATCCAATCGCTGCTTAGAGACAAAGTATTGTAGGAAGAGCTGGAGATAAAGACTTGTGCGTAATTTGTATACAGGTGAAAGCACAATCTATTAGGATGGATTCCCAGAATCAGACTACAAAGGAAGAACAGAGGTTTCTGCTATTAACTGAAACATTTATCTTTATTTTCTTGGAAATGTGAAGAGAAAGATGATCAAACAAGAACAAATCAGAATAGTGTAGTCCAAAAGATGTGGGATTTGAATAAGGATCTTGTGAAAAGCTGGTTTTTGTTGGCTGGAGATATACTGCTGATTTTTGTAAGATACATTTTCTTATAATTGTGAGAATGAAAATGAACATTTGTGGATTTGTGATGATTGAGAAATAAGGAAATGAACATTGCAAGGTAGAACTTTCATGTAGGGGACATGGAGATACTGACCCCAATCAGAGGGAGATGGGACTATTGGGAACCCAGAAATGTGGGTAGGATGGAATTCTGAATATTTTTTGATGAGTTGATAATAGGAAATAGTGATTATGTCTCATTTTGGGGGACTTGGAAAACAATGAGAGGGATTGTAAAGAGTCAGAGAAACTGAAAAGTGAAGAAAAAGTAAAATTTGATAGCTTGTTTCCCAGGGTATGATCTTCTCAGTAAGATGGTGTCTTATGGAATGCTAACCTCTTTTTCAGAGGAATATGCTAGCAACTCAGGGAAGACTTCTTTTTAAACTTAACACCTATTAACACAATTAAGGAATTCTAAAACAGAAATAAATTCTGACCAGAATTTTTAAATTGTTGTCAAATTATTTTGTCATTTCATTTTTGTTAGAGAAAATTAAAAAAATTTTTAAAGATTTTATTTATTTATTCATGAGAGACAGAGAGAGGCAGAGACACAGGCAGAGGGAGAAACAGGCTCCTTGCAGGGAGCCCAATGTGGGGCTCCCTCCCCAGACCCTGGGATCACAACCTGAGCTAAAGGTAGACACTCAACCACTGAGCTACTCAGGAGTCCCAGGGAAAATTAATTTGAAAGAACTGTAATATTTCACAATTTGTGACCTAATTTTATTTTTAATTTTGAAAGCTTATAAATTGTTAAAGTCCAGTTGCTTTAATGAAAGTGGTCTTTAGATGTTAAACATGTTCATTGTAGTTGTACTGAGGATATTTCACCCCTTGTTTTTCACTATGAGCTATTATCCTTGGGCTGTGTGTTTCATTATTGTCTGTGCATCGATACTATTGTCTAGAAAATCTCTTAGGAGTAGCAACCCTAATACTTTCATAAAGCACCCTGAAAGTTTAAATGACCAATAAATGTTCAGCAGTGGTACATTTCATTCATAATATAGCAGTACCCTCTAGTGCTCATGCTTGGTCATGTGTTCTCCCAAACTGCCTAACAGGGGTATATGTCACATATTGAAGCATTTTACTCAGGCTTAGCTTTAAGTGAAATATTCTATTATTCATAACATCACCTTCTTGAAAAGGAGTTCAGGCATTTCCATTATTATTCAAAAATATTACCAGCACTCTTGTGCTGTAGGGGAAAATGGCTCTTCCATCTATTTTGCTCATATAAGTAAATGAAATGCTTTAGAACCAAGAACCAAGAAGTTGGTTAAATTTCTTAAGTGATTTGTAGAAACAGAAGTCTTTTGTTCCAATGTCCAGTTTTGTGCCATATGCATTGGAGTATGCATATGATCCAAGGAAGTTTAAAGGTATAGATATATGTGTACAAAACTCTACATTCTTTTCACCTAATCTTTTCTTGAAGACTATTACTCTGTTTTGAGAATTTTTGAATTGTTGGTTTACAACACAGCACAACAGTATCAGCCAATATACTGCAAAGGGAGTTGTGTTGTATTGAAATTTAATCGACCATGCTTACATATGTTAATTCAGAAAGAAAAAAATTCTCCAGCCAAACTGTCCATCACAAGAAGGCCTGGTTTATTTGCTTTCCAAAGCCTCAACCAAAGCTTGATCACTGAGTTTATATGCAGATCATAGATCTTCACAACTGCAAGACCTTGCCCATTATTTACTATTATTTTAGTGGTTTGAATATTTGTTATGGTTTTAATTTGGTAAGGTGTTCTAACCGAAAGAGTAGATCCACATAAGAAAATAATTCTAATTCTACATATGTTTCTGAATAGCTTCCTTAGATGATTTGAGTTTGGTATTAATAAATATTTTTGGTATCTATATTTAGTTGTTACAGGGTAGGTCACCCAAACCTGACAAGTGGGAACTCCAAATGGGCAGTGGCGGTGGCATGGTTGAACAGGTCAGCGGGGACTGTGATGATGAAGATGGTTGTGGGGGATCAGGAAGTGGAGAAGTCAAGAGGACCCTAAAAATCACAGACTGTAAGTGTATGTTTCCAAGACTTCTTCTAAAGAATTAATTTGAAAGTATAATTGAGAATAATTATTATTATGAATATAATGGAATAATGACAATGAATTCAGAAGCATGCAAAAGGAATTGGAAATGAAAATGAACCCATTTTTACTTATTCAGGACATGTATTCTTGGGGGTTTTGTTTATTTTTAACTAAACGTTTTAATGGAAATAGAATGTTTTTCTGTGAAAGACTAGTTCTGAGAATTAAAGTTTTTTTTAAGTTGGATAATCCTCAGGGCATGAAATAACTATTAGGGTGGCTATTAAATGTTTATTGGTAAATAATGTGAAATCAGGATGGGTAAATCCTACTAAATAATTAAATTCCGCAATTTCATTATCTTGCACCATCATATAAAAGATATTTTACAAGGTTTTCATCATAGTATGGTTGCAAAGAAATTGGTTAAATATATGGTTAGTTATGGTGAAGAACTACTTGGATTTAACTCTTATGATTTTGTTCTTCAAAAAAACTCTCACCAATCATGCACCTTGTTTTGATTGTATGGGTTTGAAAACCATTTCCAGTATTGCTGGACTGGTCACCACCACAAAATATAGAACTTCCAAATAACGACAACAACAAATCACCAGGTGAATTTTGTTTTCTTTTCTTCACTTTACAAAATGAGGAATATTGGCTCTTCCCTGTTACGTGCATGCAGACATATGGGCAAGACAACCAAAGTTATCAACTGAGAAAGAAGTGTGGAAGTTAATGTACCCAGGGCCAGCTACCTATCAGCTCCTCATTTATCTGAGGTCATACCAAAGGTGATTACTTTATAAAGTAATTTTCTAGACCTGTGCAGCCCAATCTGGAGGCTGGTCTGATAGACTCCCTCTAAATCACAAAGGGCTGCTTTGGAACAGTTAGACATGTCCTTTCATGACTTTGGTGGGAGAAGAATTCATTTACTTTTCACTTCTTGTAGTAAATTTAGAACACTACACATGCTTCAAGCATCAATACCCCATTCTTTCTAGGATCTTGTTTTATAAGGCAAATATATTGGTTAAAGGAATGGAAACCACAGAGGTGCAAAATCCAAAGGGCAATTAATATAAAGAAATATGTTTTCCTGTTAGACACAGAAATAAATCTAACAGAAGGAAAATAGATGGGATTTAGTATACTGGAGCTGCAATTGAACAAAGGGCCAAAAAATTTCTTGATGTATTAATGCAATTTCCTAGTGAAAATTAAATATCTTCTACTTGTGTAGGAGCAGGTAAGGATACCAGTTTTTGTTATTGGCATTAATATAGTTTATCAGATTGATTCTTCTGTTTCTCTATGTTTCACTGGTTAGGCCAAAACAACAAAAATGAAGAAGAAGTAGAAAATGCAAATGAAAATGTCTTCTAGAAAAAAAAAAACTATTCTTACTTCGAGTTAAGATGTCCTCCATTGTATTTTGGAATTATGATACTCATCTATTAGGATAATATTAATCTTTCATTATCATTTTATCTTGAACATTTATATGTATCATAATTCCATTACCATTTCAATATTAGCAGGGCTTTAAGGAATAAACATTATTTTAAAAAATAAGTTGAAATTTCATCTATGAATTATGTGTATATGTGTAGAATTAGCATTTTTATAGGGATTTTTTTCACTTTCGGAGTTATTTATAAGCTCAAGAACTCATTATGTATTAATAGATAAGTCTTGTTTATTTCACAAAAGAGGTAGAGACAGTGGAGGATATTTAACTACTAATAATTTTCTCACAAAACCATATTTGCCAAGGTGGCAAGAATGAATTTTTACTTCTAAACCCTGTTTTCAATTATTACAGAAATAGACAGGTATGGTACAAACAACTATCCATCAGAATTGGAGAGATTTAAGATTTAGATGGTTTTTAGAAACTCCAGGCAAACATTTAAAAAAAATCCACATCTGCTATAAGTGGGCTACCTCTCATGTTTCTCAGAGTTTATAGCTGTTAGCTGTTGCCTTTCAATTTTTAATAAGTGGTTAGGAAACCACTGTGGATAGTAGGCTGAAATAAACAGGGACAGAGAAGGCAGCAAAGCATAGGTCACATTTCTATTTTTATAAAGCACTATCATATTTTCCTTGTGTTTCGCTCATTTGATGTATTGCTAAAGCAAGCTAAGACATAGTTTTGGATGGTCTTAATGACTTAAAACTCATGTGCTCCAGCACATTTGCCAGGTGTAATTTGTGTAAGAAACTTGAAACGCTACAGTGGTGTTTACTCTTTATAAAATACAATGTAAGTAGAATACAATTTATTTGTTACCTCAAAAATGTCTGATTAAAAACAATTATACATATATATATATATATATATATATATACACGAGTACATGGAATAATACTAATATTGTGTTCTGCAAATTTGAGTTTGCTCTATTTACGGAAATTTTCGACAATGATGAATATTTTACTAATTATCACTTGACCTGATGCTCTGTTTGTTTTTATCCATGTTTATTTCAGACAACAGAGGGATCAATATACACTTTAATGTGCAGAGTTTTACCATCAATATATATGTACCTTTTAGATATAATTTTGTTTTCATCACGATGGTATCAAATAATTTAACAAATGTTTAGCTTTTAAAACTACCTGATGGCTATCAGTTATCAAATGATAATTGATTTGTTTCTTATAAAAAGTAGCCATCTATACCATGCAGTGTCTACTTTTAGGAAACTGAAAATATTTTCCAATTTCAGTAAAATGATTTAAAAATCCCGATCTTCTGGAAACTTACTCTCTATTTTTTAATTGTATTGAATTTGGCTCATTTGTGTAGGTGTGGTTGTTTCACTAGTAACCTGGAATTACAAAATGGCTTTGAATCTTCATTTTGCCTCACCTCTGACACTCCTTACCCTTTCAAAGTAGCTGATTGATACAGATTCCAAACACCAGTGAAAGAAAACAAGTTCTAGGCAGAGCAACCTACGGACACTATCATCAATACTTTTTCAACTACTAGACTATTCTTCTAATACTCCCAAATTCTGATAATTTCAAAGGAAAAACAAACCAGAGTGCTACAAAAAACAGGCTGTAACAAAACCATTTCCTGTAGAGTTTTAGAATAGTAGCATTGCTTGCAATTCCTATGTGATAATATAATTTCAATTTCAATTTTAAAAAACAAAGAATATGTAACCTGTGATCAAATTCATTTTGATAAGGTGGCTTACAGTGATAACTCAGGCAAAATGAATTTGATCATTAGTTGATTCAGATACAATACATTCAAGAATAGTAGGGTGATTATCAGTCTTCAGACTGTCAGACATCATTTCTATTGTCATATTCATCATTGTCCGTATAATATTATATACTGTGTTTAGCAGTTTTAAAAATAATTTTATTTTAACCGAGTAAATAACCATAGAGATCATTAAAGGTGTGCTCAGATGACTTTTTTTCTAGTTGTCTCAGCATACTTCTGCAGAAGGGTCATTGTATGGGATCATGAAGATGGATGCGTTCAGAGAACCAGTGCAGCATTCTAATGCCTTGGGCTCTTTCAGAAGGACTGTTAGTCATTAGGTTATTATTTCACAAGCTGCTTTTCCGCTTCTATGAATTTTCATCATCAACGCAAATTCTATTTGAAGATTCCAAACTCAGTTCTCAAACTTTTGCCATGTATGTTCTCAATGATTCCTTGTTTCACAAACTGCTAACTGCATCAAAAGAACAGTAGGAAAAGAGAGAGAGAGAGAGAGAGAGAGAGAGAAGAACAGTAGAACTATTGTACTGGCTATTGATAGCACCATCCAGTGTATGAAGCATTCCCCTGTGTGTTATCTTAGGAGGCAGGCTTATGAATACTGAAAGTATTCAACTTAATGGAGATTAACTTGGAAGTAGAAGGGTAATACATCGAAATATAAAGTTACTAGGTCTGGAAAGAAATTTTGGTTCACCTTCTACAGCCAAAAGTAAAAAGTTTATATTGGCTTTGGACTTGTCACTTAGTAATTAACCTTAGAGCAGCTTCTAACAAATGCATGTGCAGCATGGTACTGACAATGACCTTAAAAGATAATAGTGTATTCCATGTGCATTGTAAAATGAAAATAATACTTTATTAACCACTGAAGAATAAAAGTTACTGATTTATTTAGTAATGCAGAATTGTAGAGTGAGTGAAAATTCTTGGCCTCCTCCTCCTCAAACTTATTTTCACCATAAATCACCTTTATTTCAAAATCTCAGGCATAGAAGCCAAGGAGAACTCAAAAAGAGTTACAAGTGGCATTTTCCTTAGAACATGCAATCTTAAAAAAAAAAAAGGAAAAAAAGAAAATCCTTATTTTTCCTTCCAGAATTATTTTTAAAAACTATGTAATTATTCATTTTGTAGAAATTATTTTATCTGACGATTTTTTTCCAATACAAATTATGTCAAACAAATAATCCAAACATATATTGGTTTACATTAATAATATTTCCAAAAGGGGCACCTGGATGGCTCAGTCAAATGTTCAACTCATGATTTTGGCAGAGGTCATATTCTCATGGTCTTGGGACTGAGCCCTGCATTGAACTTCACATTCAGGATGGAGTCTGCTTAAGATTCTGCTTGAGATTCCCTCCACCCCTTCCCATCTCAAATAAATAAATAAATAAATAAATAAATAAATAAATAATCTTTTAAAAAATAGTAGTTCCAGGGACGCCTGGGTGGCTCAGCAGTTGAGCATCTGCCTTCAGCTCAGGTCATGATCACGGGGTCCTGGGATCGAGTCCCACATTGGGCTCCCTGCAAGGAGCCTGCTTCTTCCTGTGTCTCTGCCTCTCTCTCTCTCTGTCTCTTATGAATAAATAAATAAAATCTTTTAAAAATATATAGTAGTTCCAAATAAACATATTAAAAGTATGTATATTCTTTCTAACATTAATGTTTCACCAAATTCAAAATAAAATGTATGTAGTTTCCTTTACAC